ACATTTTGAGATAGTCGTTTTGTATGAGAGAAACCAGGAACTGGAACAACAGAAGGAACGTTGTGTGGAGGAGAAGGATGCAGAGATAGTTGCTTTGCATGAGAGAAACCAGGAACTGGAACAACAGAAGGAACGTTGTGTTGAGGAGAAGGATGCAGAGATAGTTGCTTTGCATGAGAGAAATCAGGAACTGGAACAACAGAAGGAACGTTGTGTGGAGGAGAAGGATGCAGAGATAGCCGCCTTGCTGAAGAAACAGCTGAAAAAACCACCACAGGCACTCTGCATGGTGAAGGAGGAGCTTGTGGAGGTAAAGGTGGAGTTGGAGGTGGAACAGGAAGTGAGGGTCGATCCACCTGAGCAAACCAATGAGCCGATCCCAACAACGCAGAGGAGGACAACACCACGGTGGAGAAGATTCATCAATTCCTTTTCTTTTATCCGCCCAAACATCAACGATGACTAAAAAGGAAAACATAAGACTCAAAGGCAGCCCTGACATCGGCTTTAAAAACTTTAAAAAACAAACTCACAACATCAAAAATTAGTAAGACATTAAAACATTTCAAGTACAGTCTAAAGCTCAAAGTGAGTGAGCAACAACATATACTCACAGCCAGTCAGGATATATATTTAAACACTTCACAGTTATTAGATCTGGTTAGACATCAACAAAGGTTCCAGAAGAGACTCACAGTGATGTGCAGTTTTAGCCACTAGGGGCAAAAAAACAACCTTAATTTTAAAATAAATAAACTATTCCTTTGCTTCTAGCACCCCTAAATAAGAGGAACATTTAGTCATTACAAGTTATCAGGTTTATGTTATATCGTCATGTTTGGTTTATAGTGTTCATTTTCATATTTAAGTTATATTTTTCATATTTACTTAATAGTTCATTTTTATATTTATGTTATATTTATCATGTTTAGTTAATAGTCAATATTTATATGTATCTTATATTTTTCATATTTACTTAATAGTACATTTCTATATTTATGTTTAGTCCATTGTTTTCTTGTTAAGTTAAAGTCTTGTCAATCAATAAAAAAATAATAATGATAATGATAACAATACTGACACGTTTGATTTATTTCACGTTTGTTTCTCCTGTCTAAGTTTAGCTTCTTGCTTTTAATTTCAAGTCACCAGAGATTTAGTCTGAGAATTCAACTAATAATAACAATCAATACAAAGACATTCAAATTCAAAATAACACTAGAATTCTTTCTCGTTTGTTCCTCCTGTTTTTGTCTAGTTACCTTTGTATTGAGTGACTTTAGCTCACCTGGCTCTGCCCTGATCAATACACTGACTTAAAGCTACTTCAGTACTTACTTTATTACCTTGTTTACAAAGTTTGCATTCAACAATTATCATAATAAATATAAACAAATGAAAAAACAACACTATGTATTTGATTTCTTTCAAGTTTGTTTTAGTCAACTATTTGATTTTAAATGCAACAGCACCAGCAAAAGGTTTTTTTTTTTTACATTTCTGCTGATGTCCAGGTGTACAGTATATCAGTATGTAGTGTCTCTACTTTAAAGAGTCCTCTCCTGCTGATGTTCAGGTGTATATCAGTATGTAGTGTCTCTACTTTAAAGAGTCCTCTCCTGCTGATGTTCAGGTGTATATCAGTATGTAGTGTCTCTACTTTAAAGAGTCCTCTCCTGCTGATGTTCAGGTGTATATCAGTATGTAGTGTCTCTACTTTAAAGAGTCCTCTCCTGCTGATGTTCAGGTGTATATCAGTATGTAGTGTCTCTACTTTAAAGAGTCCTCTCCTGCTGATGTTCAGGTGTATATCAGTATGTAGTGTCTCTACTTTAAAGAGTCCTCTCCTGCTGATGTTCAGGTGTATATCAGTATGTAGTGTCTCTACTTTAAAGAGTCCTCTCCTGCTGATGTTCAGGTGTATATCAGTATGTAGTGTCTCTACTTTAAAGAGTCCTCTCCTGCTGATGTTCAGGTGTATATCGGTATGTAGTGTCTCTACTTTAAAGAGTCCTCTCCTGATGATGTTCAGGTGTATATCAGTGTGTAGTGTCTCTACTTTAAAGAGTCCTCTCCTGATGATGTTCAGGTGTATATCAGTATGTAGTGTCTCTACTTTAAAGAGTCCTCTCCTGCTGATGTTCAGGTGTATATCAGTATGTAGTGTCTCTACTTTAAAGAGTCCTCTCCTGCTGATGTTCAGGTGTATATCAGTGTGTAGTGTCTCTACTTTAAAGAGTCCTCTCCTGCTGATGTTCAGGTGTATATCAGTATGTAGTGTCTCTACTTTAAAGAGTCCTCTCCTGCTGATGTTCAGGTGTATATCAGTGTGTAGTGTCTCTACTTTAAAGAGTCCTCTCCTGCTGATGTTCAGGTGTATATCAGTGTGTAGTGTCTCTACTTTAAAGAGTCCTCTCCTGCTGATGTTCAGGTGTATATCAGTATTTAGTGTATCTACTTTAAAGAGTCCTCTCCTCCTGATGTTCAGGGATAAGTATGAGTATATTAGAGAGTATTATCATTTATACTGTATATTTCACAGTGTTTAGATGCTCCTTCTAATATAGGTGTTGTGACTGAGAATTGTGGGGGAAACTTCTGTAGCAATGGAGAGTCAGTCAGGACCAGAGGCGCGGGAAGGTATGTTGAGTGGGGTGCTGAGGTGCTGTCCGATGTGCTAATTACGCACCAACGGGGGGGGCAAAACCACACACACACAGTGGCATAACAATGGACTCCAGTGAACACTATTACGGACACTATAGAGCAGTGGTTCTCAAACTTTTTTCAATAATGTACCCCCTTCGAAAAAAATATTCAGCCAAGTACCCCCTGATCAGCGCAAAAACAATTTGTTAGGGACAAAATGCCTATATAAAGAGGTACAGTACAGCCTTGCACCATCAGTGTCTGATTTGTTAAAACAACAACATTGTAACTGAGAAACACTTAAATGCTACATTTCAAATGTTTACAATCCATCACTAAATTCATGGCAAACCAATTTTAACATCATGCAATAACACTAAGACGACATTAGTTGCATTGAACTGATCTTTTTAATAAGTTGTACTTACAATGTAGTGAGAAACATGGGCTTGTGCTTCACTGAGGATCTTTGTCATTCTCGGTGACAGGGAGGCAACTGCAGTTATTACACATAATATATTATTCAAATATAGCATGATAGGTCCACTTTACTGTATCATGCACGTTCAGGTCCATCAATACACTGTTTTGTTTTTGCATATTCATAAAAACCCAGTTGTGTGATTATAGATGAGGTCTGCAATAAAGTGAAGTTCAATCTGTCAAATTTCAGATACATTAGAAACTTCCTATCATCTGCAGCAGCTAAGCTATACCTTCACTCGATGGTCCTCTCCCACATCAACTACTGTCTGATAAGCTGCTCGAATGCACACTCTGCAGCTCCAAGGCCACTGGACTCACTACATAAACAAGCACTCAGAACACTAGACAACAAGCCATTCCGGTATCATCATTGTCACATTGTTAAAAAGTATAATCTGTTCAGCTGGGAAAATCTCAGTTTACAAAAACGTCTGCTTAGTTTACAAGATCACTCGTGGGCTGGCTCCTCCTCCTCTGGCTGGCTTCATCAGACTAAAGCCCACCTCAACCAGGGCTACTAGAAGTGCGGCTACATGTTTTTAATATGTTGATTAATGTACACTGTCCCTTGTTTTAAATAAATCAATTCAATAAATGGCTCAGACAATATGAAAAAAAACGAATTTTGACTGTAGACTCCCATGTTGTACACACTTCATGCGATTAGGGTACAAACTGTCACTCATATCACCGTGAAACTCCCCCACTTCATCACCGACATTAACACAATTACTTTTTACATTACAAGCTTTCTGCCATGTATGTTTAAATACGCAAATTAGGCTTCATGTGATGATACCTTCTGGTGGATTTAGGAGAAATGAATGAACTCTTGGATGTGAATTCTGGATGTTGTCTTCCCATGACTCGGAAAGAAGACATGTTATGGAAGCAGAATGTCCCGTTATTGACCCGTCCATGAACATGTCCTGTTTGTCTGTAATGTCTGTTCCTCGGTTTGTCCTCTGGCAGCAGACGCTCCATCTCCTCAGATGTTGTTTTTCTCCTCCTCCTGTCCACACACTTTTTACTATTTTTCCTTTTTTATTTATTTACTACTTGCACTATTTTTTTGTGTTCATCTGTGTTATTGTGTTGCTCTGTTGGAGGAGCCTGTGACCTAAGATTTTCATCGTCATAACTACACTGCAGCTATGTGCACGTATGACAAATAAAAGCCTTGAAACCTGAGGCCTGAGGCCTGTACTACGAAGCCGGATTTTCTGAGGGAAAATTAATAGAATATCCCCTCCCATCTTCAGAGCAATCTGACTATTATAACATTAGCGTTAAGAAAGCTTACTTAAATATCTGCCACGACATAAGTAACCGGATCAGAGTAACATTAAGTACAGTCCGCGGCACTGTGAGTGCAGACGTCGATGTGTGCCATTATCATTCATATCATATCATTCATCATAATGTATCATATATTTCCTTATCTGAGTCAGCTGAGCCGTATCTGGCCGTGCAACACTCACAGTGTCACATACTGTATGCAGAAGTATTATTTTAAGCAACACATTAAGTTGACGAAACACTCGAGTCAAATGTAATTAAAGTCAGATCGTGTCTTAGACGGGGCAGTGATTTCATAAACCTGTTAATGTACGCATTCAAACGCTTTTTCTTTTACCAGCTGTATTCACCTTGCAGGTGCAGCTATGTGGCTTTTATCCTGGATAAAGTGTTTAAGTCATGGATGTTTAAAGTTTAACTTCTTCATATTTGACTAATATTAAAGTTCAGTTTTCATTCAGGAAGTATGACGCTGCGCTGTCAGTACGCTTGTCCATGTTTGAGATTGGTCGAATGCTCCAAATACCACCCCTTTCATGTGAACGCGCACCTAACTAGATAGGACACGGCTGGCTTGAGCGATCCACTTGATAACCAGCGTCGTAGAACAGCTTAGCGAGAGCGCGTATGTTTTGGATTGGGCCAACCGGCTAACTCAAACATATCCAGGTTAGGAAAATCCGGCTTCGTAGTACAGGCCTCTGGTAACACTGTCTCGATCACTTTTCCTCTCAGAGACGCCAGCAGTGGTCTCTGGATGTAAAGCCTGATATAATGAAAAGCAGCATGTTATGATGTTATGGCCGTGGGACCGTACGTTGTGGTTTTCATCTCATTCTGATTCTGATATGGGGGTTGAAGCTTCCCAAAAGTTATTTCCTACTTGTGCAGATTTCTCTGTCTGAGGATGTGAGTTTTGTGGAGAATGAGAGACAGAAAAGAGCTGATGAGCGGCAGAAGGTTCTCCGTCCTAAACGTCTGAGTTCTCCGGAGAGGGTGTTTCAGTATCTCAGTCGTGGTGTTTGCCGCAGACCCATCTGAGCTGAGGACGACCCCTGAGATCTGCAGCCTCTGACGCAGAGATCCAGCTGCACTGACAGGCGTACGACCTCTGACCTCTCCTCCTCCTCAGCCGCGACCCCAGCTTCTGACGCTCCGGCATGTTGTTCCTACACACACACACACACACACACACACACACACACACACACACACACACACACACACACACACACACACACACACACACACACACACACACACACACACACACACACACACACACACACACACCACACACCACACACACACACACACACACCACACACACACACACACACACACACACACACACACACACACACACACACACACACACACACACACACACACACACACCACACACACACACACACACACACACACACACACACACACACACACACACACTGTGCATTAATGTAATAATGCATAGATAATAATATAATATATAATATAAGATAATAACAATATAAAAACTCACCTGAAGAACAGGTAATCGCAGGACGGGTCCCACTCGCAGTCATCGAACATCAGCACCCGGAAGTCACATGACGTACACCTCAACTGGTCACATGACCTGTAGGATGAACGCCGCCGGCCAGTGATTCTTTTTAAGATTTGATCAAATGTAATAAATATTTTCTGATTTAAACAAATACAATTATCTCGAGGCTTCTGAAAAATGTATTAAATGTGTTGTATTTAAGTAAAACTCTGAGGTACTTCTACTTTTACCGAGTACTTTCATTTAATGCTATTAGTTACTGTGCTTTTTACTCCTGTACATTTATCTGACAGCTTAATTTACTTTACAAATTCAGATTAAAATGTTATATATCGAAGTAAGATTTCTATTGCAGTATTTTTACAATGTAGTACACTTCTTCCTCCTCTGACAAAACAGACGTGACAGATTCTCTCAATAACAAATTATTTTTTCACACCTCTTGGATGTCGCTGTTCCGACTCCGTTAGTGACGGAGCTCCCGCCAACGAAAACAGGACAGCACCTGGAAGAAGAACAAACACATCGTCTACAAGCACACATTTAAAATAATAAAACCAGCATTCAGATGTGAGAGAATCAAAAGAGCCAACCGAACAGCTGGTGTTATCCACAACCTGGAAACTTTCAGAAATATAAAACATGGTTCCTACCTTCACTTAGGAGACAACCAAAGTCAAATGAATGAGTAAAAAGACATATCTAGAAGTTCTGAGTAAACTGGACTTTAGATTCTTGAATTGGATTCAATCAGATTCTTTACTTAAAGGGGACCTATCATGCAAAATGCACTTTTGTACGTCTTTTACACATGAATATGTGTCCCCGGTGTTCCAGGGAACTCACCAAGTGTCAGAAAACACAACCCTCTCTATTTTCCTCCATACCCAAATCTCTAAAAAAGGGGCTGCAACGGATCTGATAAAAACTGATCCAGATTTGAACACTGTCCTGACATCAGGACGGTGGCGCTACGGCTATTGGGCCAACTCCACCAATCAGGAGGAGACAGCCACGGCCATTGCCGTTCGAAAGCGTTGGAGACGCTGATGCATGATCTGTTTGTTTTTTTTGTTTTTTTAAGTATAAATATGCCTTATATAGGTATGGCCCTACAATATATTATTATAATATAGCATGATAGGTCCACTTTAATTAGGTAACATTCAGCAAAGGCAGTATCCGATGTTACGCTGTTGTGTCCGATCATTTTGACTTAATGTTTTTATTTACAGCCGGACTTGGATAGCGGCTGCTCGCTCACTCGGTGCTGGTTCTTCTTATATCTTAAGTGTTAGGGAATCATTTGCCCTCGTGTCATCTTTCGCCCTCTGACGCAGCTGACCAGCCTTGATCAGCCGCTATCTCCCTTAAGGAGGGGCTGCCCTAGCATATTGTTGTTGTTACCAGTTTGTGACCGGGCAACTCTCGGTCAGAGATAGTTATTGTTGTGGGACACCTGGAACACATCCTTCTCGGGGTGTAGATGACCCCGAGCCATAAGCGACAACAAATGTGATTCAGTGTCCTCAGCTGTTTAGTCTATCTAATGAAGAATGTTGATTACCCTTAGCAGAACTAGTTCAAACATCATACGAGAGGACGGTTTCTTCAGAATTGATTGTGGCATCTCAACCGTGTGGTCAGACCGTGGCCCGTGACATGTCTTGTGAATTCTCCGGTCAAAGCTCCAAATAAACCGTCAGTGTTTGCCATCAGAGCTCCAGCTCTCCTCGTGTCTCTCTGAGTCCTGACTCCATCAGAGCTCCAGCTCTCCTCGTGTCTCTCTGAGTCCTGACTCCATCAGAGCTCCAGCTCTCCTCGTGTCTCTCTGAGTCCTGACTCCATCAAAGCTCCAGCTCTCCTCGTGTCTCTCTGAGTCCTGACTCCATCAAAGCTCCAGCTCTCCTCGTGTCTCTCTGAGTCCTGACTCCATCAAAGCTCCAGCTCTCCTCGTGTCTCTCTGAGTCCTGACTCCATCAAGCTCCAGCTCTCCTCGTGTCTCTCTGAGTCCTGTCTCCATCAAAGCTCCAGCTCTCCTTGTGTCTCTCTGAGTCCTGACTCCATCAAAGCTCCAGCTCTCCTCGTGTCTCTCTGAGTCCTGACTCCATCAAAGCTCCAGCTCTCCTCGTGTCTCTCTGAGTCCTGACTCCATCAAAGCTCCAGCTCTCCTTGTGTCTCTCTGAGTCCTGACTCCATCAAAGCTCCAGCTCTCCTCGTGTCTCTCTGAGTCCTGACTCCATCAAAGCTCCAGCTCTCCTCGTGTCTCTCTGAGTCCTGACTCCATCAGAGCTCCAGCTCTCCTCGTGTCTCTCTGAGTCCTGACTCCATCAGAGCTCCAGCTCTCCTAGTGTCTCTCTGAGTCCTGACTCCATCAAAGCTCCAGCTCTCCTCGTGTCTCTCTGAGTCCTGACTCCATCAAAGCTCCAGCTCTCCTCGTGTCTCTCTGAGTCCTGACTCCATCAGAGCTCCAGCTCTCCTCGTGTCTCTCTGAGTCCTGACTCCATCAGAGCTCCAGCTCTCCTAGTGTCTCTCTGAGTCCTGACTCCATCAAAGCTCCAGCTCTCCTCGTGTCTCTCTGAGTCCTGACTCCATCAAAGCTCCAGCTCTCCTCGTGTCTCTCTGAGTCCTGACTCCATCAGAGCTCCAGCTCTCCTCGTGTCTCTCTGAGTCCTGACTCCATCAGAGCTCCAGCTCTCCTAGTGTCTCTCTGAGTCCTGACTCCTTCAAAGCTCCAGCTCTCCTCGTCTCTCTGAGTCCTGACTCCATCAAAGCTCCAGCTCTCCTCGTGTCTCTGTTGCGGCTTTCACACCAGCGCTTTTCCCTTTCTAGCTCCTAGCGAGAGCTTTTCTGGTTCAGCTCCGGTTTCCCTTTTCAGCTCCCGCTCTGTTCACACCGCCCAGAGCTGCCGAGAGATTTTCTCCCACAACAACAACGGGCCGGGGACTGCGTCGGGTCGACGATCGTGTTGCTTTTAATCATACGAAGCCAGATTAAATTAAATAACGACTTCTCCAACCTTATACTTTTCTCCAGAGTGCCGTGGTTCATTGTTTATTAATGTGTTTCAGCGGCATTTACCGACCGCTGCAGTGCTGCTCTTCCACGGGAGTTTATTCTCCCGTTAGCTCCGGGTTAGCTCACACGGCTCTAAAGTATTCACTGTCTGACTGTCACACAAGCAGCTGATACATATCCCCAGTTCCCCTTAAGTGAATGTGTGTCAATCTGAATTGACGCTGTTTGGCATCACAACGCTGTTATGAAAGTTTCTCTGGTATAACATGGGTGATGTTAGCATAGCAACCGAAGCTAAACTGACTACATGCTAAGCCGTTTTCTCCAGGCACTTTTTACCGGCGTATTTTTCATTATGATTCTACTTGTGATAGTCGGACATGACAACCTGTGCAGCCCATGTATTGATTCCATCCGATAGCTGCTATAATAACAAACAAAACGTCTGCCTGCTCTCCACAATGATCAATAACAGCGAACGGATGGTCAAAGTAAGGTTTCCTGCACGCCTCGACGTAAGCGACGCCGCGTCATAGCTCCAAAGCTCTTGCCTCTGGACCGACAACTTTTTGGAGCTGGAAGTGAACCGCATTCCGGAGCTATGACGCGCCGCCTCTGCGGTGTGAACAGGAAAAACCGGCGCTTTTCAGGCTCTAGCTCCGAGCAGGAGCTGGAAAAGCGCCGGTGTGAAAGGGGCATCTGAGTCCTGTCTCCATCAGAGCTCCAGCTCTCCTCGTGTCTCTCTGAGTCCTGACTCCATCAGAGCTCCAGCTCTCCTCGTGTCTCTGAGTCCTGTCTCCATCAGAGCTCCAGCTCTCCTCGTGTCTCTGAGTCCTGACTCCATCAGAGCTCCAGCTCTCCTCGTGTCTCTCTGAGTCCTGACTCCATCAGAGCTCCAGCTCTCCTAGTGTCTCTCTGAGTCCTGACTCCATCAAAGCTCCAGCTCTCCTCGTGTCTCTCTGAGTCCTGACTCCATCAAAGCTCCAGCTCTCCTCGTGTCTCTCTGAGTCCTGACTCCATCAGAGCTCCAGCTCTCCTCGTGTCTCTCTGAGTCCTGACTCCATCAGAGCTCCAGCTCTCCTAGTGTCTCTCTGAGTCCTGACTCCATCAAAGCTCCAGCTCTCCTCGTGTCTCTCTGAGTCCTGACTCCATCAAAGCTCCAGCTCTCCTCGTGTCTCTCTGAGTCCTGACTCCATCAAAGCTCCAGCTCTCCTCGTGTCTCTCTGAGTCCTGACTCCATCAGAGCTCCAGCTCTCCTCGTGTCTCTCTGAGTCCTTACTCCATCAGAGCTCCAGCTCTCCTCGTGTCTCTCTGAGTCCTGACTCCATCAAAGCTCCAGCTCTCCTCGTGTCTCTCTGAGTCCTGACTCCATCAAAGCTCCAGCTCTCCTCGTGTCTCTCTGAGTCCTGTCTCCAATTTCTTCAGAAGTTTCCCCCACACTAAGTATAGTATGTATAGTAGTTGTATGTAGTCTAGAAACCTTATTTGTATTTTCTAGGGCCTAATTCTGTTTTTTCCAAGCTGTTAGTTTTTTATTTCAGAACTTATTCACTTACTTTCTCCCTCCGGACTGAGACGAAAGCTTCTTCTCCTCCGGTCCTTTAGGAGCCGCTTCTGCCTGAAATAAAAAGGTAAAAGAAAAGATGATTAACTCCATAGTGTGTATACAACGTCATGTCTTTAATTTAAACATGAAGAGATGTTTAACCACCTGTGTTTGTCACCACAACTAATGCAACGTTCCTTTAGCTACATTTACAAAACCTGTCTGTAGTTTTCATTTGTTTTCATTATACCGCTCGGAGATGAGACAGGGAAGTCATTTGCTGATGTCAAACTTTGAGATACTAGCAGTTTGGATCAGTATTTTCAAAAGGTCTTAAAATGACAATCTAATAAATAGCTTGTAAATGTCTGCTCATCTCACGGCTTCTTTAAATGATCTATTTTCTTCAGCAAAGTATGTTTAATCACACAGATGCAGGTGTGCTAACAGTGTAATCTTTATCTGAGAAAACATTTGTGGTTTAAAGTTGTCCATGTGGAGAAAATCATTAATTGGGAAGGTGATATCAGTATTTTAATATATAGTACACGATCACCTTTCGTGGAGGGGAATCGCTGTAGTCTTCCTCCAGTAATTCCTCCAAGAGGGCGTCAATATCGTCAGTGACGCTGCTCATCGACTGTGTGGGTTTAGTGGCACTAAATCAGAAGAAATTAGTCAATTGTAACGACATGGAAATATACAACAAAAAATCATTACATGTTGCAAGTAAACAAGCCCAACAATGTTACCAAATGCTACACACCTTAGCCCTGAATGTATACCTCATAGACTTTATGTAAAGGTATTTTGTTAAGGATTCAGATCCTTACACATTAAAATAAAGACAGTGAGAGAAACAGCCACAGAGCAGCACACTCTGATAGCTTATAGCTAACAACAGCTAGCTACATTAGCATTGTTTACCTCTGTGTTCTCTGTTAGCTTTGTTTACCTCTGTGTTCTCTGTTAGCTTTGTTTACCTCTGTGTTCTTTGTTAGCTTTGTTTACCTCTGTGTTCTCTGTTAGCTTTGTTTACCTCTGTGTTCTCTGTTAGCTTTGTTTACCTCTGTGTTCTCTGTTAGCCTTGTTTACCTCTGTGTTCTCTGTTAGCTTTGTTTACCTCTGTGTTCTCTGTTCTTCGTTGTCTTTCCGGGACTCCTTCGGGTCCACGCGAGCCGAACATCCGACAGAAACGTTTCTACAAAACTTGTTTTCAACTTCATCCAGCAGTTCATCCAGATCGTCGCCATCATCGTCCATGGTTGTTGGTGCTAACCTTTATATATACAGTCTATGGTGCTAACCCAGCTAGCAAGCTAAAAGCGTGAGTTGGTTACTAAGTAACGGGAGGAAAGAGCGGAAGTGGAGAGACGCCGCCTTCAGATATGTAACATTAAAATTCACTTTGAGGATAGCCGAAAAAAACCAGGAGATGTTATACTTTTGATTTGAACCAGGGCCTTCCCACATTTGGGACCAATGGCCTCTAGGGTTACTGTCAGGTGTATCAAACACACAAAACAACAGACATTATTTGATAAAAAATGCTATAAAAAGCGGCATGTAAACTAGTGAACATGCAGAAAACTTGCATCGTACAAAAACATGCGAGAAAATGCTTTTTTACTCGAGGACTTGAAATAGTGGCGTATTATGTGGCACTGTTTGCTTTTCATAGGTACCTCATTGCGTGACACTGACACTGATGATTTGAGCAGATTTGTTCCACATAGAGACATTAGATAGTTAGTTTAAATTAACACTACCACCTCAGAGATAGGTGTGTATTTCCTCATTACGTATTTCAGTGACAGATGAGATGATACTTTTCATATTTACCTCATAAATAAGTTGTTTTTGTACACACTAATGCTTACGTTGGCAGACATACATTAACTCCTTGCATTTACAAATGTACAATTTGATCAACGTGTGGACCCAGTCTTTAAAGCTTCATTATCTGCCATACAGTACTTTGTTTATTCTCCTAGAAAATCCATAACTGATGTGGGAACAAAAGATGGAGGAAGACTGGAGATGGATTAAACAGAAAGACAGTTATTATGCAATGCTTATAGTTTAAAACCACGACGCTCGGTTAGCTCATATGTTAGCATAATGCCACAAACGCACAATATAAAGTGAGAAAAATGCAAGAGTAAAAATATGTAAATGTATTTATGTTGAACATAGAATGAAAAAGAAAAGGGACGTTGTCGGCAGGATTCGAACCTGCGCGGGAAGATCCCAATGGATTTCTAGTCCATCGCCTTAACCACTCGGCCACGACAACTGATGACAAATCGCCTTTACCTATGACGTATTTATATGACGCATACGTTAACATGTTACCTAACAATTCCTAACAATTCCTAACAGCTTTCCTACCAATTCCGACCCATTCCTAACACTTTAGCATGGGGGCAAAAGTATAGTAACGCCCATTCCATCTCCGACAGTGTTGACAAGGAAATCACAGAAAAAGAGGAGTTTTTAAGCAAATTATAATCAACTATGAATATCAGCGTTATTGTTAGGGATACACACACTTGACACCGAGGAAGATGTTATGATTATGCGTACTTTACGACTCAAATCATTCAGTAACGGTACAATGTTGTGTGGTAAAACAGCTCTTTTTTTTTACTTAAAGGACAAAACAAAAACAGGGATTTCGTCTACTACATTTAATTAAAAAAAAACAGACAAAGGTGAATCACATAAATGACCAGAACTTTTCTCTCCTTTAAAAACAATATTTAATATAATTACTAATGGGAAACCTTCTTAAAATGGTGAGTGAAGGGCAGTTTGTGCAGCAGTGTAGAGCACCAGCACCGATTGAAAAGACAAAACCAGGACGCAAAAGCAGCTTAAAACTGAAACAACTATTGTTACTTCTAATTTTTGAAACTAGAACCAGCATCAAATAAATAAACAAATCAAACTTACCTCAAAATGCCCAGAATCTTTACTTTATTTCCTAAAATTAAGTGTCAACATTCATTTTTAATAATGAAATATTTAATTGGCTTTAAACTAAAACCTAAAACACTGAAACAAGAACACATTTCAGAAATATTTTCTCATTTTAAAGCAACGTATACTTACTAATAACCTTAACATCTTTGTAACACTTTAACTAAACCCTTCTATTAACATTCTTTTATCACAGCTTACAGAAGTATTGGACAAACATAATCATAAAATCACCTTTTTTTTTTCTCTTTAAAGCTCCCATGTCATGCTTTTCCGGTTATTACCCGTCCCCTTGTGTGTTATGAAGGTTTTTATGCATGTAAACGGTGTGCAGAGTCAAAACCCTCAAAGTACACCCTGTAGCGAGTAAAACTCTAACACAGAAAATACCTCCCCAAAACGCCTCGTTGGAGATACGTCACTGCCCATTTGATTCTTCCGGGTACCGCATGATGTCATGCGGTACCCGGAACGAAATGGACCAATCCCGAAGAGCTATGGCCACACCAGCAGCGGCGTGTTCCTCCTCCAGAGGTTCGAAGAACCGGCATTTCACAGACGAAAGCTTCCAAAACATTGCCCAGTTTGAGGCCGGATATGCACAGCTTGTTTGGACCGTTTGGAGCAGGGGAAGATCTGGGTATACAACCTGTAAGTTTGCATTGTTATTTGTGTATTTATCAAACAAGACTGTTTAAATGTGTAAACTGTGTTGGACTGCTAAGCCATTGACACAGTGCTAACTGTGCTAACTAAGTTGCTAGAGTTTCCATATATCAACTCTAATATCAGCAGATGGCCTTGCATACATGTATCTCATAGCAGGAGAATGTCTGCATTCACACACAAAATACCTATTGACAGTATACTGCGGGTGATTTGCCGGTCAGTCGCGAAACGTAATTACATTATAGCTGGCGTAGCGATCTAACACACGGAGCTTGAGCTAGTTTTGGTCAGAAAAACATTTTTGTGATGCTACGTTGCTAGCGTTTAAATATATCAACTACAATGTCAGCAGATGGCCTTACATGTTTGTCATGGCAGGAGAATGTCTGCAGTCACACACACGGAATACTCATACAGTATACTCCGGTTTACCGTACATTGTGACCGTACATATACTGCATGTAGCTAACGAGGCTAGCTGTATGCTAGCGCAAAACAATGTATTCATGCAAGTTACATTGTATGGTAGCAGAATACCCGTATACGATTGCAATTATAAACACGTTATTGCTAGCCTAATATGAACCACTAGCTTTGTTCATAGTAGTTTTATTACACTGCATTATAGTTGCCTTTCCTCCAAGCTAACGTTCATATCGTGTTAGCTACCAAGGTAAACAAAGCTAGGTTAGCATATTAGCAGGCAAGCTGTTCATTACACAACTACTACTAACGAATCTAAAACAACTAAGTTTCTCTAATATTTTGTGATTTGCATTTGATTTCGTCCAGCCAGATCCTGGCGGACAATCCATGACGGGGAAGGGATTCTACTACTACTGAGGCCTCGTGCTAAAAGGCACCGCACCGCACCGGCTGTGCGCAGGCAAGAGGAGGAGGAATGGATGATATACCGTGTATATATGTATATTTATGTTCATTTTGTACATTTCTAAAAATAAAGTTTAATGGAAATACTTAGTAGGCCTATCCTTTCTTCCCTGAATTCATATATAGCAAACCATGATTTGATTTCTCATCAAACAGTAGTAGTTTATAACGGGTAAAAATAACTTACTCTTTGTTATGAGAGTAGCTCGTAGGCCACAACGGAAAGACAAGGAGACATACACGAGTTTACAAAACCACGGCACATTTATTGTGGTAAATGCAAAGATAGGTGGTTGAGAGGATCGCAGAGTTAGTCTTCCTGCAGCCGCTTTGGAGAGAGACTGGGGCCGTAGTGTCCGGAGGTGTCCGTGATCGTGCTGATTAGCCTCTTCAGCTCCACCCCATCGTAAGACAAAGGCCCTGGGGCCGTCACACTCTTCTATAACAACAGTTAAAAATATATATGTATATAAAATATACCGCTGTACCGACGCCATGATAAGACTGATGTTACGCTGAGAGCAGCCGGGAAAAGCACTGTTAGACATGGGCGCAGCCTCTCTGGTGGTTGACTAATCAGAACGAGTGGCCGAGCTGACCAATCGGAGCACACTAGGCTCACAGGGAGGGGGGGGGCAAGAGCTCCAACGAGTCGTTTAGTGGAGAAAGTGAATACTGCTGAATACACATGCTTGACAGAGATGCTGTATGCGAAACCAATGTGAGTTTGGAAAATTGCACAGTATAAATCTATTTTAGTATACCTCAACAATGTAATTATGATCAGTGGAAATGGCCATGACATGGGCCCTTTAAGATCGAAAACAGAAGTGACAAAACAACCTGACATTCAAGAGGCGTCAAAGGAGAAGTGTTAGATTATATATAGAGTTACAAAAAACTCCCAAACAGTCATGGCTTCATCCGCCTGTGTCTCGGGATTTCCCCATGTGTCATAGATGAAGGTCAATACGATGGAAATAACACAGCGCAGTTTCTCTGTTCTTGTTTCTACATGCCACGTTGCTCATGTATCCGCATGTATAAGGTCCACTATCACATCAAGCTCAGCGCAAGTTCTTTCAGGAAGACTGGTATACATTCACTCCGCAGCTGCTTATTATCAGCTCATCACGGGCTTCCTGCTAACCTATTACATTTCACCTCAATCTCAGCAGCCAATCACCGTGCTGCAGCCAAACTTTTAAATGGTTCTCCTCTCTCCTGCAGTCAGCTGTGATGTCATGCTGCCACCCGCCTCCTCCACCTCCTCTCATCATATCCAGTGCCAGGAGAGCTAATCCAAAAACCTCATCACACCTCCTCTTCATCCACCTCCTCCTCATCAAATCCAGATCTTCATCATCATCAGTGTCTAGACTCCGGGGGGTTCCCTATATGCTCACGGCTGCATTTCCCCCTTTAGATATACGATTTCAGGATCGGGGTCTAATCGCCAAAGACTTAACATTTATCACATGACATGTGTCAATAAATGTTCTTTAAACAAAATGAAGTCTCTCCTGATTGAAGTGCAGATACAACACGTGAAAATAATAAAGACTGCTCTGAGTTATGAGCGGCATGTTAGGGAACATTTCTACAACGACTTGCATGTGTAAGAGTATCAATCAGGGTTACAGAATAAAACAGATCTCCTCTAATACGTTCCAAACAAAAACACTTTATTAAACAGACATAATATATAAAAATAAAGAACTCTTCTTCTTGTCCTCGAACAAAGTATTTCTACAAAAGCATTCATGTATAGAGGCACATAATGAAACGTCTTTGGTCGTTGTGAAGCACGTGATGATTAAACCCTCAAACATATTTCACAACAAAGCAATTAGTGGGTAGATTGGCATCCATTTGAATATCGATTATTATATATATATTCAAAACATTGTTGTGATTTATTTTTGTGTGTCAATAATTTAGATTTGCTTGTTTTCATTCAATGATTTGAAATAATGTTTCAGGTTTTCCTATCAGTATGTAGCGCCTCTTCTGAGACACGTCTCCACGCTTTAATGCTCAAATCGTTATCCATCTTTCTCATTCTGCCTCTTTTCACCCTCTGTCTGAAACCAGAGTGAGTGGGAGAGAAACTCCCTCTGTAGGGAACACAGGGATTTTAGCCTTTGCAGACCATTTACATGCACACAAAACTGTATCAAAGGAAAAACCCCTAAAAGAAGAATAGGGACCCTTGACAGAACAAACGATAACACACTGTAGGAGAGGGAACACTCAACAAAGCCCAATAGGGCTCATTCAAAATATAAGATTCGTGTTTGAAATCTTTTTGAGACTTTTCTTCAAAGAGTACATTTTTCTGAGTCGACCTAAACTTAAGTACCATTCTCGCTGCAGGACTTTTACTTGCACTTGTAGTATTTTTACAGTGTAGCATTAGTACTTTTACTAGAGTAAAGGATCTGAATACTTGCTCCAACAGGTTTCAGTTCCACACCCTGTTCTTCTTTTATGATTATCCAATAGTTTAAAACAGGATGAACAGTCAGGTTCCTGTTTGCACATTCAACTTGCTGCAACTATTCAGCTGGGCGTTCATTTTCAGAGGTGTGAGAAGAACTCAGATCTTTAACTTGAGTCAAAGTAGTAATACAACAAAGTAGAAGTATCCTGCTACAAGTAAAAGTCCTGCATTCATTTTTTACTCAAGTAAAACAAATGGAAATCGTCCATTTTCTGAATGTGTTCATTGTAATGTTGCTGCTGGTAAAGGTGGAGCTAACTTGAATATACTGCCATGCATCTCCGCCCATAATAGGTCGTCATATTATGAACCAGTTGCTCAGGTGCAATGACCTCAACATTGTACTTAATGCAGAACTTAAAGCACTATTTATTCTAAAAGTATTGGGATCTGGAGAGGAACATGAAGTAATATCCGTCCTGAAGTCTGAGGGCTCAAAGAAGAGCACGACATCCACTGCCGTAAAGTCAGATACATAAGACTCTCTGCTTCGGTACAGAAGCATTAGTTCATAGCTGCAGCGATGCAAGTCTTCCACAGGTGCAACACTTTGCTCAGGTTCATCAATCATGTGTTTTCTATGGATTGATTCACTAGTTCGTGTCCTTTTAGCAAAATGACTCTTTCTAATGACTCTCTAGAGATCATGCCTTGATAGGCTCTGCTGTTATCAGTGGTGCCAAATGTTTGCTCACTTTATGTTTCCTGAGCGTTTGGTTGACTTTTTTAATAACCAAATCATCTTAACTCAAGTTCCATTTCCTAGATTTTTAAACCAAATCTCACAGTCTTCCTCAGATGATTCGATATGGACCAATCTTACACAGCTATAGAAAAACTAGAAAATGGGAATTTAGTCGAGATGATACACACACACACACTGATGGCATTGATGCAAGGCGAGCAGATTGAGGGTCAGTGTTTCTTCCAAGGACTCAACCCTTACCAGCAGCAACATTTAAATGACATACATTAGATATTCCTCCCAAATCGGATGTTGATCAGGGTCTTTTCCCAGGATACTTCCACACATGGACCTGGGGAGTCGGGGTTTCGAACCGCTGAGCTTCTGCTCCACCGCGCTGACTTTCTGCTCCACCTCGCTGACTTTCTGCTCCACCTCGCTGACCAGCTCCACGTCCAGTTTTCTCCCCGGGGAGGACGAGCCCGCTCTGGCTCCACATCTCGTTTAGCTTCAGGAGAGTTTTAGTAGGTCCGTGACTGAAGATTACAATTTGAAGGGATCGTTAATTAGAAATCATTACTTGTGATTAAAAGATTGTCCAATGCAACTTTTCTGTGAGGAGACATCATGAGTCGTGTGGTGGGTTTGTAGGAAGGTCCTCCTGCTAAGGCTGTCCGAATTAAAGTGGCTCCTATAGACGCTAACATGCAGGAAGTGTGGATCCTTACGTTGGAAAGAAGCCATTTTGTGGAGTCTTCAGGCACTCCCTCTTTCCAGCCTCGTGTTGTTCTTCAGACCCAGAACTGCTTCTCTTTAGACACTTTAGGACCCAGGATCTTAATCGACTTCAAGTCCTTTTCATCCAGTGGTTTGTTTGGATCCAGGAAAGCTTCTTTTTGTAGCGTCTTGTTTCTGTCTCCGAGGGTTTTGGTCAGACTCTTCTGTAGTGGAGAGACACAGGAAACAGTGAAGGTGAGACACATGAAACAGTGAAGGTGAGACACATGAAACAGTGAAGGTGAGACACAGGAAACAGTGAAGGTGAGACACATGAGAAGCTGTTTGCTGTAAACAGGGTGAATGTTGTGTAAACACACTTACGTAGCTTATGAGGAAAATTAAAAGTGCAAGCAGCAGCACCACTGAGGCCAAAATCACCAGGTAGGCGTCTGTCATTTCGGTGAGACAATCTGAAAATGAAAATTAAAGTTACTTAAGTTCATGCATGACATACATAAAATAAAAAAAGATAAGACCTTTATGAATGCCACGTTGGGAATCTGCGTGTTCAAGAGCAGCTCCAGAGTCCAAAGAGTGATACAATGATTTTAAAACAAGACGGAATAAGCTTTATACACATTTGATCACATGGTGGAACGTAGGTTTGAATCCGGCTATTCTGCTTTTGGGTTTTCCCTCTCCTGTAGTGTTCTATGGGTTTTAGTGCATGTAAATGGTCTGCAGAGGCTAAAATCCCTGTGTTTCCTCCAGAGGGAGTTTCTCTTCTCTCCCCCTCTATCTCCCTCTTTCAAATCTACCTGTGTGTGTGTTGGGAAGATACTGAATGTCCTCTTCCAATATCAGAGTAACATCACATGTCATTTGTTAGACGCTTTTATCCAAAGCGAATTACATACATTCAATACTGTGTACAATCCCCACAGGAGCAATTTGGGGTGAAGTGTCTCAGGGACACAACGACATGCTGACTGCAGTGGGACTCGAACTTGCTACCCCCTGTTTCAAAGTCCATCGTACTATCCACTGAGCCTCCTAACATGATAACAAAGGTATCCCAACTGTAGCTGTGAACATGACAGGATGTATGATTACCTAGAAGAGCATCAGGACTGTTTGAGGCATATGATAGCTATGTGATTAACATGATGATTCAGCCTCTATGGAGATAGACATATGACAAGCATGCTCATTTCTGACGTGGAGCTAATCTGAAGTAAACATTGAATACTGCTTTCTATTCCTCCATCTTGTGACTGTGTAACTCCCTCTCTTGGATATCAGCATGTGAAGGACACTGTTCAGGAACTAGTTGATGCTCTGTATGTGATGACTACTTCCATTCTGGAGAGGATCAGAAACACATGGATCCTGAGATTGAAGCTCAAGCCGGGGACCAGGGAGATTTCTCTAACAGTGTGTCATAATGGCTGAACTGGCTCAAAAAATAATCTTTTAAATAAAAAAATAAATCTGCGTTATGAGTGTTTTTACCTGTGAGGGTGAGGGTCACCTGCCCCTCCCGGTTCTGCTGCCCCACCGGCGCCGCCAGGTGACAGGCGTACGTGCCGCGGTCTGAGCAGGTGACGTTGGGCAGGAAGATGTCTCTGGTTCCCCCCTGCAGGTCCACCTCCCACTGCACGCCCGTGTACAATTGGGTCGGCCCGTTGGGGAGCTTTCTGCTCAGAAGGCCCGAGAGACCGGGGTCCGGAGCGTCTGAGACCTGAAGAGGTGGGAAGTATTGGAGTTCAAATACTTGGTAACAGTACTTAAGTGCATTTTTCTGGTATCAGTACTTTACTCCACTACTTATTTTCCTGACGACTTTTTACTTTGACTTCTTACATTTTGAACACAAATACCTGAACTTTCTACTTCTTACATTTTGAACACAAATACCTGAACTTTCTACTTCTTACATTTTGAACACAAATACCTGTACTTTCTACTTCTTACATGTTGAACACAAATACCTGTACTTTCTACTTCTTACATGTTGAACCCAAATACCTGTACTTTCTACTTCTTACATGTTGAACACAAATACCTGTACTTTCTACTTCTTACATGTTGAACACAAATACCTGTACTTTCTACTTCTTACATGTTGAACAAAAATACCTGTACTTTCTACTTCTTACATGTTGAACCCAAATACCTGTACTTTCTACTTCTTACATGTTGAACAAAAATACCTGTACTTTCTACTTCTTACATGTTGAACCCAAATACCTGTACTTTCTACTTCTTACATGTTGAACTCAAATACCTGTACTTTCTACTTCTTACATGTTGAACACAAATACCTGTACTTTCTACTTCTCACATTTTCCAAACAGGCTGGTTCCTTTAGTTTGAATGTGTGTTTGGTGGCGTGATCATTATTATTTAGAGTCATTGCGTGCCTATTGATTTGAACACGATCCGTGTATCCATCATTTCCTGGTCTTCTCTAAAGAAGAGGGACCAATGAAAACGTTGTCATGTTGCCGTTGTTCAGCATGGAAACATTCATTAGCTAACAATGACATTATTGTTCTATTAATATAAAGGGAGGTCAGGTACTCTTTAAAACAGCTGCTAGTTATGGGTACTTTTTACTGAAGTACATTTCAAAGCCCTCTTTACTTTTACTTGAATAGAGAAGTTTAGTCAGTACTTCTACTTTTACCAGAGTATATTTAAACACGAGTATCTGTACTTCTACTTGAGTAAACGATGTGTGTACTTCTCTGTAGACCTGCACCATAACTGAAGTACGATACGGTATAATCAAGTACATTACTACTAATCTACACGGTATCTGATTTGATCCACATTCACAAACTGCAACACAGAAATGCTCTTTCTTACATGTACAAAAACAGGATCATATTATACATCATCATATAATACTGTGAAAAGATCCATTCTGCTTAACAAGTACTTTCACTTTTGATACTTGATTCAGCTGATAATACTTCTGTACTTTATATTATTCTGAAAGGGGCCATTGTGAATAATGAATCATTTTACTTTTTGTATCCTTTAAGTATATTTTGATGCTAATACTTTTCTACTTTTACTCAAGTACATTTCCAAATGCAGGACTTTTACTTGTAATGGAGTATTTTAAGACCATAGTATTTGTACTTTTACTAAAAGTACAGGATCTGGGTACTTCCTCAAACACTGGTAACAAGCTTTTAACATATCACATGAAGTGCTTATATGATATACTGCAGTACTGTACTGCTAATCTACCAAGTATCTAAATATACTATGTGAATATAATACTGTGAAAAGCGCCAATCTGCATACTTTTCTGATGTACATTTAGCTGATATTACTTCTGAGTACTTCTACTTCATTGAAAACGATACTGAAAGTGAAGTTTGCCTTCAGCCAATCGGAAGAGGACATCTGTCCTTAATACTTGTTGAACAATTTACTCGAAGTATTTGCAGATTAGAAAACACTGCAGTATTTACCTTGTACCATCTCACTGCAAGGTACTGGACTCCAGGCGTGTACCGAGCCGTGCATTGAAGGGTGCAGTTCGCAGAAACCACAGATATGACCTCCAACGTTTCCTCTTCAACTGCCAGGGTTCCCAAACCTGAAGAACACACACACACACATTACATTAATGTTTTCAGTTTACTAAACCTGCAATACGAACACTTTCTTAATGATCTCCCACTGTATACAGATATATATCCAAAAGTGCAATGCCTCAAAGTCACTGCAAATAAACATTTGTATCACTAGAGTTAGGGTTTTGCATATTATTTGTCCTTTAATATTATGCCTTGTGCAAAGTAAAAAGAGCTCTTTCATGCTTCCTGCAGTCCCACTCCCTACTCATGAGCATTACGTAATCCTTGTTTACGTGTTAGCTGCAGCGCAATCATTTCGAGAACTGTGCATGAAGTGGGACGTTAGTAAGGATTGAAGGATTATACTACAACAGGCTACTCACACAGGGAGAGAAGAAGAGACAGGCTCAGGATCTGTCGAGTCATGGTGATGTTTGGAGAAGGAGTCCGTTTGAGAGACGTTTATGAGTTTCGCTCTTGTCTTTATGCTGTCTGCACAGTCCAACCCAGATTAGAGTAGCCCACGCCCACAAGGTGGTGCAGCTTCCTCATTTACATTGGGAATGACACTGTAAATATGTATATCATTTGTTATTTTTTTTTTTTTAAACCTAAATTAACCACCCAGCACGAACACTTGTATAGTCCCGATTTTAGAGTATAAAAGTGCGCTAAAATCCAAGTTATTTTCTAACTGATAACTGGACTTTTTTTTTTTTTTTACATTTATATTGAATTTATATGCCATTTATTGTACATGTTACTATCCTACTTTTAAATTGTGTAAACTCTAATTTGTCAGATAGTCCACATATTTGTATCTTTCGCTGTCGACATGTATATATTTGATTTCTTAGTGCTGTTTCATTTTCTATTTTATGTGTGTTTAAGTGCAATGCCTTTGTTTTAACAAGCTGCTGTAATGAAAACATGTCCCAATATGGGATCAATAAAGTGTATATCTATTTATCCAGCAATTTTCTCAGGGCTTAAGGGAACCTCCACTGTGCATGTGCCCAGTCATAACAAAGATCTATTCAGAAAGGAACACACGGGAGGAGATCATCATCACTAGACTCAGACTGGATCATACAGGATTAAACAGCACAATGTTTATAATGGGAAAAAGCGAAATTGAAGAATGCAGGGGATGGAGTGAAATAAAATGTGGAACACATCATATTACACTGCAACATGTAGAAAACAGAGAGGGAAAAATTATGAGACAGGGTCAGAGAGGCAGGAAGGGAGTGGAGCCTGATGGGGACACTGGGGACAGAAGGGTAAGAGCTACCAGGAAGGCCATTCTTAAGTATTTGAGTGAAACAGGATTGATTGGAATAATTTAAAACAACGTAAATACAGTGGTATAATTCCACAAGGGGTGACAGGATGATATGGTGATACACACTCTTGTACGATATGATGAATTGGAAATGGGGGACCCTGATGTAAACAAGACGAAAGTCTTTCTCTGGTCTGCATCCCCTTAACAATTGTATGTTTTGAGCTGTACTGTACTGTACCCAATATACAAGCTGTTAATAAACTTTTCAATCAATCAATCAAGTACAGTAGGTGGCGGTATGCAGCTTAAAGTTGTTTGCAATCGAGAGAAGAAGAAGAAGAAAATCCAGGAAACTTTGGAGTAGTGGACGCCGGTTTATCCATGTGCGAAAACGTTAGACTGGGCTCATCATTTTATAAATTAACGCCGGAAGATAATATCCAACATGAATTTGACCAGCGCTCCCTGGATACTATCAGGTATGAATGTATGACCTTCAGCGTTGCTCTGTGCTAGAGAGCGGATAAAACGATGTCCGTCCAAAAAGAAGATTACTAATTGATTTATTATTATTTATTTATTATTAAGTTATTAATAAAATATACAAAATGAAATACAAATATTTGTATGGTTTGTCAACACTGCAAGCCAGCTTTATCATAAAAAAAAAACTGCTGTATCATTATGGCGTTTCGAAGTCAACGTTGAGCAACCGTAAAGTTTTCCCCTTCAGTCTCGTCTCCAGCTCTCTGTCAGTCAGATGAATGGAAAGAGAAAATACATCGGGATTCAGGTTTTAGAGCATTTTACAACTTTTAGGCCCTAAAGACTTAAATAAGGACTATACAAGTGTTGGTGCTGTGTGGTTGATTTAGCTCCCCCCAAAAATACCCGGTGGTTTACAGTCATAGATAATGAATGGCCTGAAACTAAAGCGTCATATGGGATTCTCCGGGATTTCCCAGCACGAGGAGCGGTTCACTAGAAACCTGACTCTTCAGAGACATTTGGAAAAACCCACTGTGGCTCTTTAGAGCTTGATAAAGTTTGTTTTGAATAACAAAAAAGGGAGGCTGCTAATGCTTGTCAGACCACAGGAAAACAAAAAGCAGAGGTGGTACATTTACTCAAGTACTGTACTTACTCAACTACATATATTTAATACCTTCACAGATGTGGATGAATGATGTGAAATATAATCAAGTGTTGAATCAGACTTTAGTTCCACCTGGAGTAAATCCACAAGCTACCCTGCAGTATACAAAGTCATTCAAACTAGCTGCACCTTTACCAGCTTTGAGAACACTTTCATGATCAATCATTATAAAACATATCATATATATTATTCTGAAATGGACCAATCTGCACAATGACTACTTTTACTGTCGCTACTTTAACTATATTTTGATGAGAATACTTTTCTACTTTCACTTGAGGAACATTTTGAATGCAGGACTTTTACTGAAACAGAGTATTCCTACACTCTGGTACTTCTACTTTTACTCAAGTACAAGATCTGAGTACTTCTACTTTTACTCAAGAACAAGATCTGAGTACTTCTACTTTTACTCAAGAACAAGATCTGAGTACTTCTACTTTTACTCAAGAACAAGATCTGAGTACTTCTACTTTTACTCAAGTACAAGATACTTCTCCCACCTCTGAAAAAAAGTAAAAAAACACAAAACCAATATTCTGTAAAACATGTTTTTCTTCGCTCCTGATTCTAGTTCGTTTTTGAGAGGACAGAAGCAAGGTAGACAATGACAACTGTGGTTTAACATTCACACTAATACTAATACATACAAATATATAACCTGACAATAATGTATTTTCTTTTTTATTGGCAGTCTTGGTTCTTATGGGGTCTCTTGATGGATCCTCCGCGGTGAAGACGATCACGTCTCCTTTCTCCTGCTGTCCAGGCGCCACACTTCCATATAAACCAGAGTGTGACACCACATTCAAACTCAGTGACAAGGTGAAAATAATATTTAATCTGAATGTAAACTCCCACCAGACAACTGCCCTGTTTTCAGTCTTTTTTCTTCATATGAGCTGTAAGTATATATATATATATATATATATTACAAAAAGTCAATCAGAACTGTTTGTCTACAACAGTAAAATGCTACTTGTTACTTATACCTGTTTCTATAAAAAATGTCACGTATATAAATATCATTATATACACCAAACGGCCATTTTTGTACTTGTTATACTTTAAGTACGTTTTGCTGATAATACCTTTGTGCTTTTACTCAAGTAAGATTTTGAATAGAGGACTTGTATTTAGACAATTGTGTATTGGTACTTTTACTCAAGTAAAGCCTCTGAACACTTCTTCCACCTCCTGGTTCCTTCTTGCAGAACTTTGCCTGGTCCTCTAACGGGGAGAGCAAGTGCATCGCTCCGTGCACGGAGATGAAAGATGGACGGATGAAGATGACAGGATGTCACAATGTGACAGCTTCCATCGTGTGTAGAGACGTAGGTCAACACTTTCTGATATTTTGTATTAGTATCTGTATCGAGCGACCCCTGAGGCACGTGGGACCCTTCATTTTCACTCTTGTATTGACAGGAGAACAACATGCTTGACGAGAGAAAGATCCAGTACATCGGAGACCTCTGCGCGGCTGTAAGATCCAACAGCATGGAGCGTGGGCATCATTGTGAGTCTCCTTTTAATGCTAATGTTGGGCTAGAAAGGAACTACAGCACGGTCACATGACTTCACGTCACCACCGCTAAGCTAAAGGTGGCTAATGTTGGGCTATAAAGGAACTACAGCACGGTCACATGACTTCACGTCACCACCGCTAAGCTAAAGGTGGCTAATGTTGGGCTATAAAGGAACTACAGCACGGTCACATGACTTCACGTCACCACCGCTAAGCTAAAGGTGGCTAATGTTGGGCTATAAAGGAACTACAGCACGGTCACATGACTTCACGTCACCACCGCTAAGCTAAAGGTGGCTAATGTTGGGCTATAAAGGAACTACAGCACGGTCACATGACTTCACGTCACCACCGCTAAGCTAAAGGTGGCTAATGTTGGGCTATAAAGGAACTACAGCACGGTCACATGACTTCACGTCACCACCGCTAAGCTAAAGGTGGCTAATGTTGGGCTATAAAGGAACTACAGCACGGTCACATGACTTCACGTCACCACCGCTAAGCTAAAGGTGGCTAATGTTGGGCTATAAAGGAACTACAGCACGGTCACATGACTTCACGTCACCACCGCTAAGCTAAAGGTGGCTAATGTTGGGCTATAAAGGAACTACAGCACGGTCACATGACTTCACGTCACCACCGCTAAGCTAAAGGTGGCTAATGTTGGGCTATAAAGGAACTACAGCACGGTCACATGACTTCACATCACCACCGCTAAGCTAAAGGTGGCTAATGTTGGGCTATAAAGGAACTACAGCACGGTCACATGACTTCACGTCACCACCGCTAAGCTAAAGGTGGCTAATGTTGGGTTATAAAGGAACTACAGCACGGTCACATGACTTCACGTCACCACCGCGAAGCTAAAGGTGGCTAATGTTGGGCTATAAAGGAACTACAGCACGGTCACATGACTTCACGTCACCACCGCTAAGCTAAAGGTGGCTAATGTTGGGCTATAAAGGAACTACAGCACGGTCACATGACTTCACGTCACCACCGCTAAGCTAAAGGTGGCTAATGTTGGGCTATAAAGGAACTACAGCACGGTCACATGACTTCACGTCACCACCGCTAAGCTAAAGGTGGCTAATGTTGGGTTATAAAGGAACTACAGCACGGTCACATGACTTCACGTCACCACCGCTAAGCTAAAGGAGGCTAATGTTGGGCTATAAAGGAACTACAGCACGGTCACATGACTTCACGTCGCCACCGCTAAGCTAAAGGTGGCTAATGTTGGGCTATAAAGGAACTACAGCACGGTCACATGACTTCACGTCACCACCGCTAAGCTAAAGGTGGCTAATGTTGGGCTATAAAGGAACTACAGCACGGTCACATGACTTCACGTCACCACCGCTAAGCTAAAGGTGGCTAATGTTGGGCTATAAAGGAACTACAGCATGGTCACATGACTTCACGTCACCACCGCGAAGCTAAAGGTGGCTAATGTTGGGTGTGATGACGTCTAGTCGTCTCATTTAGACACTTCACCAGTGGGGTAATTACAGACCTTATTTAAGGCT